ATATATATATATATTAAATACTAATAATAATTAAATATAATATATTTTTAAAATTGATTTGATGTTTTCTAAATTTTAATCTCAACACAATTCCCAACACAATCAACACACCCCTATAAGGGGTGCCATTAGCACCCCCCTTGAACTATTTAATATATCATCATACCTTTAATTCCTTTTGTCTTTACTCTTATAGTTGAAGTAGATTCTGGTATTTTTATCGTTTTTAATCTAAAAATCGAGTTTACCAAGTTATTTGTGCACATAAGAATTGTGGGTATAATGAGATTATGTTTATATCTCTTCATTGATTTACATCTTGAATCAAGTGTGTTCAATATTCGATTCGTTTTTAGGGTTTAAAGTTCTTCAATAACTGTTGATGTTACTTCTGATTTTGCAAAATTGGGATGGATTTTGTTGCAAAAATTCAACAATTGACATTATTTTTCATTTGTAGTACTGTTAGGAATTCTAATCTGATTTGCAATTTATGCTTAAAAAGTTTTAAATTCACATCAAATTTGAAGTTGAAAATAAGCTGTTTGAGCGTTTAAAGTTAGTAATAATTAGTTTATCGTGCATTTGCAAGATAATAAAGCATGGGAAAAAGGGGTGGGGATTTGTGACTTTTCTTTGGGTGATTGATCATTTTTGGGTGTACTTTTCCTTGGTCTGTTGTGTATATGAAACGAAAGAGCAAAAGTGGTTAATAGATATGACAGAAATCAAAATTTAACGAGAAGCATGGGAATATTATAACACGAGTGATGAAATGTTCATGTTAACTTATGTGACCTTCCGTTAACAAACTGCTTCTCATGAAACTATCCGGGGGTAATATTTAGTATATGTAGTATTTAGGTTTTGGTTTATACAAGTAGCATATGTACACCGGGTGCATTCTTCATGCTTCCCTGCACCTAAGGAATAAGGGGCGGAGCTTGAAGAAAGTGCTTGCTGTAGCGCGCATCTGACTAAAAACATGGAAAGTCAAGGCTCTACTATGGATGTTCACTCTTCTAAGGCTTCTTGTCGCCGGTTCGAGTCTCTTTTGGGTCTTTGTCGTTGGGGATTTTACTGGGTGTTATCTTTAGTTCTTATGAAATTAATCGAGGCGTGGGACCGGACACCCATGATTACAAAAAAAAAAAAAACTTAGGCGTATAATGTTCTCCTTGGCGAACACAACAATCTTATTTTGTACGCCTTAGATCTCAAAATTGTTGTATCAAATTTTGCATTGAAAGGCTAGTACATTAACCTTGAGGGTTGGCTTAACCGACAAACTCATAAGCAGCCGGTTCAAGTCCCCTGGGTCACTAGAAATTTTCGGGGCCTCATGGGATTAGTCTCGTCCAAACATCAATGATTAACCTTGGAAAACAAACAAACAAAGTCATCCTTCTGACAACGTCCTAATGATGTTTATGTTTATTCAGGTTTAGATGCTCCAAAGAATATAAGTGGCGTTCACAAGCGCTGTTGGAAATACCTTCCAAGCACTGTTGGAAATACCTTCCAAGCCCAAAGGAAACCGAACAAATCGCACGTCAACCACAACTGCAAGTCGAAGCTGCACAATTCCCCCTGCCAACATTTTGATCGGCGGTTTTTCTTTGAAGAAATCTCCAATGACATTTATGGGTTCGTACGTAATTCTCTTCTTTTCTCTCAACATTTTGTACTTGCACTGAAACAACTTGTATACCCATTGGGCAAGAGCTAAGAGGTAAGGACTGCCTACATCCTCCCCTTTCTAGACCCTACCTCTGTGTGGGATATACTGGACTTGCATGGTTTGGTTTCTTTGCCGATCCCTGTCCCGGGCCGGGCCGGGCCGATTTCGCCATCACTATTCGTACTTAATGAGGCCCCCTTTTCATATCTCACTTGGGGCTTATAAAATTGTTAGAAACGGGTCTGGGAAGAATAAAATGTATGTAGATGTGACCTATATCCAAAAATATCATCCTTTTTGTATTACAAAAATTATATATAAAAACCGATTTAGGTGTTGATGGTTGCTATTGACGGAATAAGAGGGGTTCAGACTAGCTACAAAAGGATTGGTCGGGATTAAGTGGCCGTTTACTGAATACTTACCCGATAAGTGTGGATCGGGTAACTTTCCTCACCTGATGCACATGGTAAGGGCTGGAAATATTACCCGGTAAGTGATAGTGAGGACTCTTACCCGGGTAAGCGTTTACCGTATAAATTGTTACATACGATACCGTTTTAATATATTACAATCTTATCTGGTAAAATAAATTACAATGTTGACTCCTATCGATAAGTGCTTATCAGGTAAGTATTTGGGTAAACGACACCTAAGACATTTTTTCTTTGTATTTTTATTATTAAATGAGTAATACAGGTTCTGATTGGAGTCAATATGTTTTATTTAAACACAAGGGGTAATCTTTTGCACACCTTCTAAAGGTTGCAACCGTTACAAACTAATTTGGACCGTTATTTGATCGATGGTTGTCAATAAGGTCTACTATTAAGGGCACGATGGGTATAAAAAAAGAGAGAAGCGCACGATAGGAATACTCCATCTGAACATCAAAAAAAGGCAATGATACGCAGGCAAAATCAACGCGATTCCAAAATCAAAACGGTTCGCTTCTTTCCTTTCACCAGTGAACTCATGACATATATCATTTTTTTTTATTAACCTAGATATCCAACCCGCTATGCGAGCTTACTAATCCCAGGACGACCACCTGTTTTGCAGATGGCTCGGAGTCACCGCACTTGAACCTCCATGGCCACAAAGAGATTTTTATTTCTCCTTGGATTTGAACCTTTGACCTTTGAAGTCAAGCTCAAACCAATCAGGCACCACCCTTGTGGTTAAGACATATATCATTACTAATGATTACAAAAGGATCTGACCTTATCTCATATGAAGGTTTCTAGAAACGGCGTTTCTTATACCGTTGATTTCATATGGGGCTTTTAATATGTAGAATTCATGTGTGACAGTTCAGCTGGTGGTGATATCATATGAGGGTTTACGTATATATGGCTTTTCTTATACCGTTAAAGTTTTCATATATATGGTTTTTCTTATCCTGTTGATTTCAGTGTACGGATCACTTTTGTATCAGATATGAAAAACTGATAAAGATGAAGAAGATATGAAAAACTGATGAAGAAGAATGAAAATGATTCAGATATGAAAAAGGAGATGAAGAAGGCGATGAAAATGATTCAGAAAATTCAAATAATAACAATATAACAAAAAGAAACTTGAAGATTTAAAATCGATTACGTTTCTTTTAACATCATGGATGAAAATAGAAAGAATTGTAAAATGTAGGGATTAAAACCGTAATTCTAAAACCACGGGAACAAAAATTGTAATGGTTAACAAACCACAAGGACTAAAACGTAACTTACTCTAAAAAATCTATTGTTAGGGACCGCTCTTAATGGATCGGTTAAGGGACCGGTTATAATCAATCTTTGTTTCTTCTCTTATAGAATAGTCTTGTTAAGTAGGGACAGATTTTAAGCTGTTGGATGTTGGGACCAGGACTTATCTGAAGACCGACCAACTCATCTGTTTATCTTGGCTTTAATTTTGAGAAAAATTATTGTAGAATGTAGACTTATAGAATGTAGATATGTGAGTGAAAGAAAATACCACGGAGTAATGTGTAAATACTTGAAAAATGAAGTTTGAGGGGTTGACTGGTATTAAACCAAACTATGAGGGCCTAAAGAGACTTGGAAGAGAACATTTGAATTCAAAAGTGGGCATCACTTCTCTTCTTTAACTATTTGCAAGCAAAACCATGAATACATGTTGAAAAATTCATTAATTTTCAAAGGCTTTTTTGAACAGCGATATGAGGTGTTCACATATTCTACGATATTTCGATGAATCGATGTTTAAATAATGGCATAATGTTAAAAAGAATGAAGAAAAAGTAGTACGGATCGAGAAGTAACGGTTTGAAAAGGTCAACACGTTGTGCATGTCAACTTTCAGTACTGTGAAACCGACTTGCACGCGGTTTGTGACATCTCATAGGCAAAATCACAAATCACGAGGATGAATTGCAAAACATATGACTTGAGAAGTCGGCGGGATGTCTCACATGTCAGGCAATGCGAGTTCCAACTCATGTAGGGAAGCAACTTCGTCAGAAGTCACATAGGCCCATGTGGGATGCGACGTTGTCCATATCAATGTATACTGTTGAATTTAATAAGTACAACTGTTCATTTACTTAGAAATGTACGTCGTGTGCAATCAAATAAAATCAGCTTACACGGGTTCAATGCTAGTTTTCATGAGTCTGAAATACGAGACACATATGTAAGTGTTTTCAAGCAAATTACGATGGTTATATTTGCATGCTATACATACATGCGTTACTGTTTTATGAAAATTGTTGTGTGGAAAGATACAGTATGTCTATGAGTGCACTGTATAATCATCAATGCATATAAACATATGGAATCATTAGTTTAAACTATAAAGTATTGGGTTGGGTTCACGTGAGACCAAAAGTTTTTCATGATACCCGTAAGACCAATTTATGTTCATTGATCAACTTTATAAGTTAATGATCCAATGATCTAAAGTTTACACGGTGACAATTTTGTGATTATTAAGAAGTCTCGTGGCGTTTATGAATGTTCAGATTGTCAGATTGTAGATCTAATCCAAAGGTTGAGAATTTGTCTTACGGGTCTCACGAAAAACCCTTGATCTCACATGATTTCAAGTCATAAAGTATTATTTGAATAGATTATTTATCAATGTAGTGTATAATCATTAATGAATACATAAAATATGAAATTAAGGGGTCGTTAACCAAACGCTTACCGGATAAACAATTATCAGTAAGAGCACCACCTTAACTTACCTTATCAAGTAAAATTCTCGGTTATCAAAATAAGTTATTGGTACATCCATACCAGATAAAATTCTTGGTAATACAGATATACTTATCTTATCAGGTAACATTCTTTTTGATAACTTATTTATCTGATAAACACTTATCAGATAAAATTGTAAGATGTTTCTAATCCTTAAAAATGTTAATAATGATTTAAAAGCAAAGCAAAGCAAAGGTGGAAACAGCGTGTGGGAATGTAACAAGGAAGAAGGGTCCCACAGGTCTTCTTTATCTGACAGTCTTCTGAAGAAAAGAGAGAAAACTGAGAGTCCTTTTTTTTGCGTTTCATTTTCAACACTGACACCCACCTCCACCTCCACCCCCCTCACACACATCAATATACCATTTCTATACTCTACAATTTCCACAAATTTTCCCACAAAAATGTCTACAATCGATAATTTTGCTGACGTAGAATCAACCGGGGTTGGAATTGGAGCTCTTCCACCTCGCCGTCGTCGTCGACGTGGCCGTGGCCGTTCCACCCGTCGCCGTCGACCCTCTCATGTTTTTAGCAGCGAACCTGCTACAACGGACGGCGGTAGTAGTTTTGGGCTATCTGATTCCGATGCGCAGTCGTCGGCGCGACTTGATTCATCCGTCGCCGGTGATGAATGTGGGTCTTCTGGAATCTTCTCTTACAATCACAGCCGCATGGAGTCTTCTTCAGATGAGATTGATTTGGAGAGTGGGGAATTGGAGATGAAAGTGCATTCTTCTGGTAAGAACGAGAAGCAATGTCGAATTTGCCATCTGAATTTTGAGGTTGGTAGCGGTGATCAGGCGGAGGATGAGGATGATGGTGGTGGTGGCGATGCTATTGAATTGGGGTGTAATTGCAAGGGGGATCTGGGCACTGCTCACAAACATTGTGCAGAAACTTGGTTCAAAATCAGAGGGAACATGTAAGTTTCACTTAATTTCTCTTCCATTACTCGATAAATTCGAACCTTATTTGAATTTGTTCATCGATTTAGCTTTTTTCTGAGCTCTAATTGTTGGCATGAAGCTCCATTTCACTTTCAGTTTCTTCGTAAATTGCTGGGTCGTATGAGATTTTTAGGTCTAGAAAATTTGGGGGAAGAATGTGTTCAAAAGAATCTTCCAATTTGAGCTTCATGGTAAAATTAAAATCTCAGACAAGTATCACAATTCACACATGAATTTTGAAATTGGAATTCCCTCTTCCTGTTCATTGGTGGTACAAGTTGACTTTTGTAGTCAAACTTTTCATTTCTGAGATCAAAATGATGCATTTCTTTCAGTTTGAAGATTAAGAACTTCATATTTGGTCTGAGTTAACCTCCTAGATTTGTTCTTATATAATTTGCATAAATATGTATGGATATGGGATATTGAGAATCAATCATTTGACCCCAAAAGTCAAAATGTATATCTAAATTTGGTAAAATTCATGAATTGGGTAGGCATTGTCTTTAAAGACTAGGGAATGACAAAATCAACCCGGGTTCGAATCTGCTATCTACGTATGCGTTTGTTTGTCGTCAATTACGTCAGTGTTGTGGGCAAAGCCTACAGTCACGACTTGCCTTGGGAATCCATGATTAGTCTGGGTAAAAACCAGTGATCACCCATTTCTATAACAAGAAAGTTGACTACCAAAATGAGAATTTTATATAGGAAAGAAGAAGTAGCTTCATGGATGGAGGAGCAGAGAGATTTATAATCTATTAGCTGAGTACTCAATGGCTAGATGTTCTTGTCTTTGTGCTACTTTCTCTGTATTTTATACTGTTGACTTTGACTTTGACCAACATTGCAAAAAAAGAAATTGACAAAGGTTAAGGTTACGAGTTTCGATTATCATCATGTGCATCCACGGAAAAACACGTCTTTAAAATATAATAAGCAGAAGCATGTCGATTTTGGATTTTAAGAAACGACTTGTGTTTGAGAAAATATGTGCAAGATTTCAAGAAAATATGGGAAAGATTTTGAGAAATAGTTTACTGTTGATGTGTTTGATTAGTTGGTTTGTCGTTCTTGATCATTTGCCAAACCCCGGTTGCAAGTCAAGAAAAGGACATAAGCCGTGTTTGGCAACCATAAACTAGTTTATTTTTTTAAGCTTATTGAAAAAGCCTCATGTAATAAGCCATAAACTAGCCTTTTGAAACGTTACCTAAAGTAGCGTTTCAATAAGCTCTATGTTTTTTTTTTTACAATTATGCCCATAATATTTTTCTTTAAGTAAATTCTTCAACATGTCATTTTACATTGTCATCTAAGCTTATTAGCTAGCTTCTACTAAATGTGACTATTTTGTCAGCTAATCTATTAGCCAATGACTAGCTTTTTAGCTAACAACCAACTTATCTACTAGTTTGCAGAACATAGCCATAGTCATATCAATCATACAAACCACACAATTAAGATATTTATGGAAATTATGAAGGTTCATTTATTATGATCAAGATATTTATGAAAGATGATCAGAGTTCTTTTATTATGATCAACGCTTTAGATACAATCAAGATATTTATAGAACCAGATACTCATTAGCCTAGATGGACGGTTGAGATTGGTTTATATGGGTTATATGAATTAGGAGGTTTGCAAATGATCAAGACTCTAGTGTCTAATCCCCTGATTCTTTCGGTCATCATATCTCATTGCCTGTGAGCAGAAGAAGGTTCAATAGAATGCTAACGATTAGGTTAAGGTACTCTCTCACTGTCGAAATCTTTAATTTGGGTCACAATTTGTATGGTAGCGGGAAATTTGAATCCAAACGGTTTCAATTTGGTCAAGTTTGATGATGCATAGAAGACCAAGATTGAAATAACCACAACCTACCCTTGACTTTGCAAGTACTATAATCTACTCATGCCAATGAAATCTTGTTTGTTTAAGATATGGGGTTACCTAATCTCAAACAACTTATGCATCTTTAGTACTTTTATTAATGATAGATTTATAGACCTACATGTTTCGTTTGATTCTGAATTTTCTAGGTTCAATGATTGGTATAGAAATTTCAATTTTAATGTACTTGATGGTCCAAGATGCGATTGATTCATGTATATTTTTCTTTTGCCGATTGGCATATTTGGTGATGCATGATTTAAGGCCGCATTTGTGTCATTGTCCGACACTTGCATTCCATTCATGTTGTACTCCCTTCGTCTCAAAATAAATACCCATAATGAAAAAGACGTACAATTTAGAAATGTGTAATTAATCACGCTTTTTAATTGGCAAAATGAAGATTTTACCCTTGATGATTTGAAGAGTGATGTATTTTTCCAATCTCTTAATTAAGGGTAGAATTGTAAAGTAGGCATTTGCTTTTGTTTTGGAGCAAACTAAAATAGAAATGTATACACTTATTCTGGGACCGAGAAAGTACAAGTCGGCCTCTTTATCTTACTCGCCTGTCTGAATCTGAACCGAGCTAAGCCTTGTCTAGCCTAAGGCTTGGCTTGCGAAAAAATATGTGGGCTCAGGATGCCAAGCTTGAAAAGCTCAAGCTCAGGCTAACGTCACCAAAGGTTCAAGCGTTGGCTACCTATTACCTCATAAAGTTGAAAGTAAAACCCTTTGTATGAAATTACGAATATATTGTTTTTAAAAAAATCACATTTGGAAGTCCCCATGGGGTAAAACTATGGCTCCTAAGGGACTCAGCTGCCGAGCCGAAGCCATACTAGGCTGAAACCATCTTGGCTTCGGCTTGGGGTTAGGCTCATTAATCACTTTGACTAGTTTGAGTCACGAGTCTTCATGAGCCGGCTCCTCTTGCCTACACCCCTACCCACGACGGTGTGTTTGGTACGCATGACACGATGGGAGAAGACAGTAGAAAAACTTGCATTAGACTGGGACCACGGACATGATAGTAGTAGGTGGAACAAAAGTCAGCGAGATGGACAAGACTGGTAAATTAGAAAACTACCCATGTCAAATTAAAACTTTAAAATCATCCAAATTTAGTTCACCCGCCTACCCAAAAAATTGCTATATTTTCTACTTTTGCACAAGTGAGGGGTTTTCATGGAAACAACCGCTCTACCCTCTGGGATGGAGGACAAGTATGCATCCAGACCCTACTTCCGAGTGAGATATACTGCTAATAATGTAATCTATTGTGGTGATTCAGGACCTGTGAGATCTGTGGTGCCATAGCACAAAACGTCGGTGGGGAACAGACACATGGCACCACGGATATCGAGGCAGGCGAACGAGCAGGCAACACGGCGATGGCGGTAGGTAGCGAGACGCAGAGTTTCTGGCAGGGTCGAAGAATCATGAATATCCTGCTTGGTTGCATGGTTTTTGCATTCATCATATCTTGGCTCTTCCACTTTAATGTATTGCCTTGATTGAGGCATGTTTGTTTGTACGGAAGTGTATTGCCTTGATTGAGGCATGTTTGTATGGGAAGTGTAAATACATGTAAGGCCGGAACCGCAAGTATACGGAGTTCATTTTCGTTATTTTTGTATGTGAAAAATCAGAACAAAATGACTCGAAACATATTCTGTCTCCCTCGAATTCAAACCAGCTTGTCGATATCGCCAAAACACAAGGGATTATGAACGTCTAAAATAACACACACACACAGATATATGTATATATATATACCTATATATATATATGTATATATATACCTATATATATATGTATATATATACCTATATATATATATGTATATATATACCTATATATACCTATATATATTTATATATATATATATATACCTATATATATATATATAAATAATGCATATTAGGTGTGCATCCAATTGTCAACATAACACCAAACTGTAAGGTTTATAGTTGTTGTAATGTGGTTATCGTGTAGACTTTTGTTGTACCATGCTATTTTGTTTGTTTTGCAGTTTCAAATTACAAAACCACGAATCAAACCATATATTGATTTTTTTTAATTATTATATATATATATATATATATATGTTTATATATTATATTTCCACCAAAATTTGATATTAACTCAACACCAGTTTCATCCATATTACCCACCAAAATGTATTATAATTTATTATTAGGTTTTAATAAAATAGTCAAGTAATAAATGATATAATTTTATATTAATGTAAATACACTAATTGAAATGTTTTTTTAATGATAAATTATAACTTTTGTCCCTATGGTTTGCTTAAAGTTACTATTTTCATCCTTTATATTTTTTAAATTACAATTTTCATCCTTAAGGTTTGAACTTTATCGACGTTTTCATCCGTAAGCCAATTCATTATAATTAAGATGAGAGATGAAAATAGAAATAAATTGTATACTATAAAGAAGATAAAACAGTGAACTGTAGATGTAAACTATAAGCACCATAAAAAGCAATGAATTGTAAATGTAAACTATAGGAACGAAAAAAAGAACGAATCCCGATATTTTATTGAGATCCCATAGACATGATTTTGAAATCCCATGGAATGGTTGATATTTCACTGGATTTTGTAGGGTTTTTATATAATAATGTTTTAGTGTCTGTCTAAAACACTGTTTTATATTAATTAATTAATAAATTAGTAATTTAATTATTTTTAAATTATTTATAATTTGTTTTCATAAAGAATGAAATTCAATTACTCTTCCAAAACTTACAAACCAAACAATTAAGACAATTATTAATATTGTTTTACGATAATTACTTCTAACGAGAGTTAAGGTGAGATAGATCGTCTTCGTAATGATAAAAGTGCTCTTCTCCATCTTATTCAAAGTTTTCACCATTCCCATGTATGAGATTTAGAAATCACATGGAATACTCGGTATTTCACAAGATTTCATAAGATTTTTTTTATAATAATATCTTAAAATATGTTAAAAATACTTATTTTATAATAATAAATTAATAAAAAAATCAATTATTTTTATAATTTATAATTATTTATTTTCATAAATTATTTTTAATGAATGGAATTCAATTCTGCTATAAATTCTACGAACCGAACATATCAAATATTCGAAATCTACTCCCACAAAATCCATATCCTCGAAAACTTACCGTCAAACCAAACCGGCCCTTAGAATTGACGATCACATTCTCAAATCTCAACCTCTCGGCTCAAATAGAGTTTACGCTTCCGCTTACGCGTCTCACGAGTTCGGCATGTAACCAAGGCATAGATTTTTCATTCACTTTTCATTCATATAACAAGAAGAAATAAAACAAATCCCACCAGGCATAACAGACCATATGAATATGAAACTATACACTCTTGCGGGTAAATAGAAACAGAAAGAGGTCTCATCAACCTACATTTTGTATCAAACAAGAGTGACTGCTGCTGCACTTCCATGGCAAAAACAGAGATCTTACTGGTTTTCAGCGCCATTATTGTTTTTGAAATCAACAACAGCCTGGTCGAAGGTGCTTCGGACATGCTGACATATCAGCATGAGATCTTGGCATGAATCTTTCAATACTTCATTTGCCGGATCACCTACAAAACCCGAACCATATACCCCAATTCAACATTTTAAACCAAGCAAGAAGTAAAATTCCAAAACCTAAGCCTCTGACGTGTAGCTCAGTTGGCAAAGGGTGGGGTGACTTTGCCCAATAACAAGCCATGTCCTGGATTTGATCCTAGGCCCCCCTTAGCCTCAGGCTTAGCTGCTGAGTGAGCCAAAAAAATACCCCCTATATTGGTGTCCTTGGAGACGGGTTCCATGTGGGGCCAGTTGAAGTTGCTGGTAATCAACTTTTTGCCCAAATATTCCAAAAGGTGATGTCTTCACTGAAACAGACTCTCTACCCTCTGGATTAGAGGCATGGTGGATCCAGAAAGTCAGGTGATAGAGGGCATATCCAGGGGTATAAAAAAATCCCAAGCCGAATAACCCATCCGAACCAAATGAGATTTGGGTTATTTAAAAATCTTTGGTAAAACATCATTAATGGCTATGAAGAGCACATAATCTAAATAAATTAACAAGTATTCCAAAAGAAAAGCCAAACTTAAATATCGAAATCATCCAAAGGTAACACTAAAACTGTTGACAATAGCAACACCAAAAGCAGTAAGTGGGTTGCCGGGAGCAGTGATTGAGTCTTTGTGAAAAAAAGTTGGGGGCATTAACAGTAAAAGGTTGGTTATACAATAAAAAGCAATTAAGAAAAACAAAAGGGATACGACTGTTTGACTACAGTTTATGATTAAAGTTGGCGAATGATGCATGTATCAACCATATATATCATAAATGTAGCTAGAAAATCGATATTACACATTGATCAACAATATAAATTATAAATATAGTTTTATGATTAAATTTCTGCTTTGCAAAGAAACAGACTCTACGATTTAACATAGAGGCAGGGTCTGCGTATATCCTTCCCCCAGATCCTACTTCTACGTACGATGTAGTGAGTTTATTTGGTTTTGTTTCCAATGATAGTGGCATGGCAAGAAAAAATAAATCGCCATCTAAGGGCATAACAGCAAGAAATGATATGATGAAGATATGTACCAGTTGTTTGGACTCTTATGTTTACTCTAGCCTCTGAGGGATGAGGAATGCTGTATCCACAAAGTGCAACTCTTGGACTGCAAGGACATGATAACAGCGAGAATGAACATGGTTAAAAGCTAGGAACAGTATATATATATATATATACACTGGTGTTTTATCGTACTGGCGTTTTGATAAAACAAAGTACACTAAAAGGCTTTAAATTTGAAGAGCTTGAACCAAGTCTAACCTATTAATTCTATCTTTGGAGGTAAAGATGTTCGGGATTTTTGAAGTCAGGTACTTCGCTGTAAAGGCAAGTCCATAGCAGGCATTACCCAACTTATTTTGGTATTTCTTTATTAAGGAAAAAAAACGTATTTTGATATTGAGGGGATGCTTGGTTTAGGTGGTAATGATGCATTCCATTGCATCAAACCATACACCATTAAGTGCATGCAAAATGGAGCATTTTTTAGAGCTTTTTGGCCACATAAGATTGTGAAAAAGCTACTGACATAAACAGATTGTGCAGTTACAAGCTGGTTTTTTGCTTATGGGTCCCAATTTTTTGGAAATAGCTCCAATAAAAGAGTCCACCATAGTTGATATTCTAATGAAATCTATTTCCATTCCTCATGCTCTATTACCCCTAATCAAACACCCCCTGAATCAGAGATGCACATAAAAGCCCAAGCCCAAAAAAGCTCGGGCAATTTCTCTAAGAAGTTAGAAAAGCTTTGGTCCACTAATAAAGTGATGCAACAAAATCAAAGCGGAGTTCATCAAAATAGAGTTGAGGGGCCATTGTAAGGAATTTTTGACATCAAACATGGAAAAGGTGGCATAAGTTGAATTACACAAGAATACGAGAGCATGTACTAACTCTTGGTTGAGAGTGAATCTTAGGGAGTTTGCCAGAGTATGATCTTCATCGGCCAAAGAAAAAGTTGAAGCTGATTGATCCTGATATGAACCATGTTCCATTTTGGACCAAAAACCTGAAAAGAGTACTTAGTTTTTTTATACAAGTGAGAACAACCAACAAAATTCAAACTCGAATTTCCTTTACATCTTTAAGGGGTTCCACATATTCTCACATGGAACTAGAGTAAGGTCTACCACTACAGGACTCTGACACGCCGTGCCCATCAAGCCTTCGTTGGAGGGGCATGATTAGATAGAGTTGGACTATTTATCCTCTATATGTTCGAATCTCCCTTTTAGGAGATTTTTAAGAGGAATCTAATGAGGTTCCACAATTCTCTAACAAACCATTGCATTCCAAGTTTCCAACAAAGATGTAAAAGGGTTTGAACAAAAGACATTTGAATACCTCATGGCCTGAGTGATAAATCATTTGAGGCAACTATAACAACCTCTCATATATGTCGCATAAACGCATAGTACTAGTGCGGCTGGCAAAAACAAGTTTGGGAACTCCGATTCCATGGATTAGAATTGAAAGCATGACCTTAAGTTAAAAGATTGAACCAAAATGCAATACCAAACACCAGAGTTCCATGTTTGTCTAGAGATAATCAAACCGAATTAGAAGTGGGTATGAAAAAACAATGCATTAAATTAGTTGAGACATTTTATCAAACAGATTGAAAGCATGAATTGAAAGCTATAATGTTTTCCTTTGAATTCATGAATTTTTTTTTTATTAAAACGTGTAGTATAATACAAGAAAGTTAGGGCAGACTCAATCGATGAAGACTGAAGAAAAAAAGAGAGGAAACATACCTGTCGGTAGTGATGGTGCAGAGCAGGGGAGCGGTTGTGAGCGACGATTGTAGGGTTTCAAACAAGGTTTTGGGCTTATTTGGTATATATTGTAGAGAGTCTCAAAGTCTAATTAAAATCCAATTTTTTCAACTTATTTTGAAAATTATATTTTAAAAATTACGGTTTAAAATTCGTTATTTTTTATGTGGTTTATAATTTATTGTTTTTCTTTTCTACAATTTACAATTCAAGCAAGAGGTTTTTCGAGAGATATTTGTCATGCTTTATCGAAGGGTTTTTAAATGTATGTAATCGGTTTAAATTTATATATATTATTATAAAAGTTTTGTATTTATTCAGTTTTAATTATTAATATATTTAAATATTAGAAGGGTACTTGTGCAATGCATCAAGATATATTTTCATTTTAATGTTTCGTTTTATTTTTTATCCATGTCGATATAAATATGATTTTATGTGGTTTTGAGAAAACGATAATATTTTTATTTTTGAATATTTAAAATTTGCAAAAATATATCAATATTAATATCAAATTATCTATTTAAAAGTTCTTCTTTGTATATTTTTTAATTCAATTTTTTATTATAATTTAATTCAACTTAATTTAGGTTTAATAATATATTTTTTATAAAAATAATAATTAAGTATTCTGTTAGAACTCAATAATTATCCTAATTATATTTTAGATTTTTTATATTTTAAAATAAGATGTTTATCCTCTATTTGACTATGTTTATCCAAGTTAGTTACACGAATTCAAACATAGAGCTTTAATAAGTTGTAATTATACATAATTTACTTGTAATCTTGAATTTTTAAGTAATATGCATTAATAAACAGTACTTCATGTATAAACAACGGTTTTTAAGAGTTTTTATCAAATAATTTATAATATAGTATAGATAATTAAAAAATAAATACATAATTATATTTGTTTGATATATTTAAATTGATATAAAAATAAACCTGGTCGTGTTTTTATACAACGGATTCTTTAAAAAACCCATTTTTTATAAATTCATTTATAATTTTATTTTTACTTTTGTACAATTTATACCAACAGTGACACGGTGGTCCGTGATTGGTTGGGTCCAGGTGGAGTGGGTGGTGGTTGTTAAATTGTATGCAAATGGATGGAATTAAATTTTTTTATTTATATCAAAGAATGATGAATTCATTAATTTGTAGAATTCAAAGGATTCCATCCATTTCAATATGTGAACCAAACAAAAGAATTGAAATACGGTTAAAGGAATCGATCATTCAAATTCCGTTTAAATGCTTCGAATTCCGCCAACAAAAACATACCAAAAGAAGTTTGAACAAAAGGAGATCATATCATATGTTATCATAGAATGCAATAGTTTGTGGGACATTTGATACCTACAAAAACTACCTATTTTGCTATTTCACTACACTTATAAACAACACTTCTAAACCCTTCCAACAGGCGACATAGGTGGAAACGAAGCAAAACTTACCGGATTTCGATCGTCTTCTACTTGTTTCGCGACGTACGTTCTTGATTCCGTATGCTCACAAGACTTTCTGCACTCAACGACGGATATACAGATCGAGAACACTTCTAGACTCGAAAGACACGAATTATACTCCACCGAAAACATCCCTTCCTTTACTATGCAAAGCCTGAAGAACCGTCTCTGGGTTATAACATCTCCCTGCAGACGTATTCACACAAAATTTGAGTACATTGGCATAAGAAACCGTTGTCAGAATATATAGAATCCTATCAAATTACTCTATAAAGGAGTCTTCCAACATATATCGAGAAGAAATGGTCCAAGTCAGGTATGATATACGTGGGACAGGACAGAAAATAAACTTGGTGACATTAACAGAATGAAGGTGGTGATACATTTTAAACCGTGTGTGGTTAGTTGATCCTAATCGGTAGTTTTTTAGAATGTGGTAGGCACGGGGAAACTTTGTGAAGGGTTTTAATTTGATATGAGTAGTTTAGTAATTTACCAATCTTGTCCTATTTCTCTTCTTTTTACGTACCTAGTTTGGTTGAACAAAAAATATGCATTTTTGTCCCGGTCTACGGTCAAGTCAAACATGGAACAAGTTCTTATATTGTCCTGCATACCAAACAAACCAGAAATAGAAAGTAGAAAGAGAGATATGTACCTGAAAGAAAAGCTCAAACTGGCCACTAGTTGAGTTTGATCTTCCACTAGATTGCACCTGGTTTATGAGAGTTCTTAATCTGCACCCCAAATCCCAGCCTCCACAGTCACATACACCACCAGATAGCCACCGCTGAATCAGCGGTGATGGTGGTTTTCCTTTACTCGATACACCATGATTGCCGCCAGGTAGAATAACCGTCATGTTAAAGATTTCTTGATCATCTTCTTTTTCATCAACATTTTCTGAAAACTTCACAACAATGGCTGCTACCTCAGCATGTGACTGGCCATTTGAATCCACATGAAACAAGGAGAACTCCCGAGTGTTACAACTAGAAATCGAACGATTTGAAACATTCATTTGAGCTACTATATTTGAGACATAGCCTTGAGCTTTGTCTTTTCTGGTCTGAGAAAACAAACCCCCTTTCTTTTCCTTGATCTCATTGATGGTGAAGAAAGAATAGATCCAGCGGTTGTTGTTATCTTTCCCAGAAGAACTTAAATCCCGCACTGTGGCCGCAAGTATTTTTTTGTCGTTTTCAACGGCAAATGTGAACATTTGACGGCCATTCTTGACCACTGTCTCAAAAAGAGCTTGTGTTCTTGATGTTGATTCAGCCGTGTCATTCATATTTGAATTATCACTACAGCTTCGCAAATCCAGCTTTGTTTTTACTTTTAGTTTTGGATCCTGATGACACCGATCAGTAGATTGACGGGGATTAGCTGCCTTTGATGGGAACAATGGTTCCAATAACCTTCTTAAGGGACTTGATTGAGAGCGGTTTGAGACAGATGAATTATCGGCTGTTGATTTTCTAGAAACTGGAGAGTCGCCCCTTTTTCTGGTGGTCGTAGAGGACGCAGATTTAGAGCTCAGGCCAAAGCTAAAGCGACGAATTGGGGACATATTTCGCTGCTTGCTAGCAACAGTAGTACTCATATTCATATCTGAATTCTTGGAAGAAACAGATGATCTTTTTTCTTCTAACCTGGAAGCACTACTTGGATTTCTTGCAGAATCATGTTCTACAAGAAGTGGGTATGAACTCAGAGTGTTTTTATTCATATATGAATGGATGTTTTCAGATGAGATCCTGTGATCAACTCCCACTGAATCTTTTGCATTTGTTTCACTATTTCCATAAAAATTCCCTGATCCATCTACTCCCTCATCTTGGATCTTCATCTTTCCCTTCAAAGATGATGACTTTTTCTGATAAGTTCCCATATCAATGGCTGATTCAGCTTCTGGAAGCTTGGGTGGGCAAGAAATATAGATTTTGCAATCTTTTAGCTTGGTTTCCGACCGGCGGGCGAGAGGTGAAGGGATTTCGTCAGGAAGCACGATAAAATGAGACTTCTGATGAGCAGGAGAACCTCTTTGACCTTTGCTCACTTGGGAAGATGAAACCAATGGAGAACAATTGCTGCTAGAAGGTGAGCATTTGTTTCTTCTAACAGACCCCTGTTTAAGATTCTGATATTTCCAATTCTGTAATCTCCCCCAATCCATAACTCCAAAACTTAGAGCTCTATCTGGGGTCGCCTTTCCGCTCTCGAGAAAACTTGGCAAATTCGACATATTTCTAACGATCTCATCCTTCTCCATTTCTCTGCTTCCAACAGGCTGCTTTTGGCTACAGTTTGAAGGTGATGCAGCAGCCATATTAGGTGGATTCTTCACCACTTCACAATGAAGGTCGGCATAAGAAAGATGGCGTTTCTCCAATTCAAATTTTTGTCGCAATGTTGTAGCATGGCTTGAACGGGCTAATGCAGGGTCGCCCATTTTAGGCTTGTTAATGTCGACAAAATTTCAAATGAAAGCTGAAAGGGGAAAACAGCCATTCTTAATCAAAATTACTGGAATTCCAGGATGAAGGTGATATATTTATTTTAAATAAATATACATTTCTGACTGCTTAAATTTGAAGTTAAAAATATTCAGAAGATTCATCTGAATCAGATTGTTTGTTAAACTAGTCAACATGGTCATTATCATCAACCACCTCTAGGTAGCATGTTGAATGAGACATGACAGTCACCAGACAGCTCATAGGGTTGCTTAAAGAAAAAAAAAAGGCGATATAAGTTCTGTTCAACATCCGGTTAGTTAGGAGCATAAGCAGCTCAAAATGCCTCAATTTGACCAAGTCTTGATCGTCTACTATGGGAAAATCTAAATATCTAATCAAACTAACTTATACTCGGAGGTTGTTTTTCTGGTAACCGTGGGTATCTGGGTTAGCATGCATGCACCTCGACTAATCCCATGGGCTCTGAAGATAAGAGCAGAAAGATCCCCGGTGGCCCATGAGGAGACTTGAACCAGCGATCTATGGGATATTGGGAGGAGCCTAGCACTTATTTGCCAGTTGAGCTGACCATCAAAGTGATACTTAGGTTTTATAAGTTACCACGATGGGAAACTATATATAAATATAGGGGGAAATGTGGAACTAATATTTATTTCTTTTTGTACCAACTAGATGGTTTAGTAGCAAAACGCAAGATTTAAAAGTTGACGTTTCTATAGGTCGTCTAAGTAGCCTTAACTCTTAAGAGTACATTTTATCACATTACTAAGAAACATGTTCTGGAAAGGAAATAACATATGATTTTTCAAGGGATTATTTGACTAGTCGCTTTGAATATAACAATATGTACAAATGATCGGTTAAGGGTCCACACAACTACTTAAAAGATAAACCACTTTAGAGTCCCACGTAGGCCGGACTTGAACCATTTCTCATTAGTATTATGTTGGAACCCCCCTTCTCTTCTCAAAGGCTCTTTTGAAGAGTAATCTAATGGATTTCACACATTCTCGCATGGTATTAGAGCCACGGTTTATTCCTCTAGGGACTCGACACTCTAGCACAACTGTCTATCCCCCCTCTCGACACCTTTGGGACAATTTGTGCCCGTCTAGCCTCCGCTGTAGGGGGCGTGTTGGAGTTCTACATCAGCTAGACTTTAACCATTTCTCCTTGAGGGTTCTTTTGGAGAGTCATCTAACAGGGTTCCACATATTCTCACAACTACTATGAAAATTAATTATTTGACGTCTCCTTTAATCTTCCCATGAGCAATTACAATGATGTTATTGGTAGCTTGCAACTTCTGAACACAAGAGTTAGAGAATTTTGAAGAACATACAGTTAAACCTACCACTCATAGACCCACTTTCTAGTGGGATATACCGGGTACTTTTGATCTGGTTTAAACAATTAAACCCAGTTGGAAACATGACAAATGACAATTGTGCCCTAGACATATGCACAAGTAAAACAAGCTTCACTAAGCTGTACTCATTGGTCGTTCTAGATCTCTAATTTGCCTAAGATAGGACTGAGACCATCTGGAGCTTATGGACAAGAATAAGGACAGGGAAGAAACTGAAACTGAGAATGGGTGGTCCTAGTTGATTGCAGTATGTCACATGAAACATATAAACTAGATTCCCTGATGATTATAATAAGAGTGTATATAAGTTCAAAATATTTTGAATACTGAAACTCTCTGACTAGGACAGAAGAAAAAAGGAAACAATACAAGATACCAAACTAGCGTGGTGTATCCCATCGCCAGGAGGTGGGGACTAGGAGGGATAAAACGTAAGCAGATCTGACCTCTACTAAAACAGCAAAACAGCAGATCGGTTGTTTCCATGATTGTGAGAAGGAATTTCTAGGGATGGGTTGGTTTATTCAACGATGTTATCAAAATGTTATTTTATTCAGACAAAAATATAGACCAAGGGTAAAATGGTCATTTCATACATACAGACAGTTTATTCATTACAGCAACTGCACAACAATTTATCTTATACCGTACAACTTTATCGATACATACATCATTCTTATATCATACAACTTTATCTTATATCATACATCGTTATCGGTACAGATTTTAATGGAAAACAAACCGAAAACCCCCTGAGATTCCCCCAATAAGAAAATGAAGGCCTAAGCACATTTTTTTCGTTTCTTTTTTTGCTTTCCCTTTTGTAATGATTGAAGCCTTTGTCTTCAAGAAACACAGATATCTATTCCATCTTACACAAAAGTAAACCTATATTCAAGATGTGATTCAAAGGCAATACGACCCATAAAAAGTGTTCCCACCGAGAGAATTGTAAACTTTCTTCTTTGCAAATCATGAATCTCATGATTACTTTCTAATACCAAAACCTAAAAGTAAGCAGGCTCCATCTTCTCCCGATTAAGAAGAAAAAAAGAACCAAAACTAGTGTTAATTTAGCTATTATAACTGAAAATGGGAAATTTTTCTCCCCCCCCCCCCAAAAGCATATCTCCAAGATTTACAGCAAGAACCTCACTTTGGAATAACTATGATGAACAAGAATCGTATAAAAAACCAACAAGAAGAACAGAGATACCACAACTCATTCACAAACTTAAAAAGCTTATAGTGTATAAAGATATTATTCATTGAGACATATTGTCGAACACTTACCCGACGTAAGTTGGAAATGGCGACGTAACTCAAATCTTTATAGATGGGCGCACCACACAAGGGAAAGATCGCCACAGTATGTGAAGAAATCCACGACACGAATAAAGATTTGACTTTTTCTTGCTCTTGTTCTTGATTCGCAAAACCCAACGTTCCCAAGAAAGAATTAACAGTAAAAAGAGTCTGGTTTGTGTGTGAAAGCAAGGGAGAGTGATTTATGGGGGGTGAAAAGTTGTTGGGTCACTAGTTTTCTGCACTAGTGTGTGTGTGAGAGAGAGAGAGAGAGAGAAAGGGGACGCATTTGATTGGACGATTGAGCGAGGAGAAGATATCCCGGTCGATTATTTTCAATTATATGTATTTTTAATTACTTTCTTTCAAATTTTCACGTTAAATATTAGGAAAATTGACTCGATTTCATTCATTTAAATTGGGTTTTTAGTTATTCTTCTTTTAAATTTATATTATATTATAAAACATTTGATAAAAATTTTTAAAAACTATATTTTATGTATAGAATATTATTTATTAATGCATGTTATTTAAAACTCAAGATTACAAGTAGATTGCACGTAAATATAACTTATTAAAGTTCCATATCTGAATTCGTGTAACTAACTGCAAATAAATATAATCAAATACAGAATAAATATCTCATTTTGAATATAAAAAATCTAAAATATAATTAGGATAATCATTGAGTTATAACAGAATACTTAATTATTATCTTTATAAAATGTTATATTATTAAACCAAAAATAAATTATTTTAATATTAAATTTAAATTAAATTATAATTAAAATATAAATTAAAAAATTACATAAAAATAAGAACTTTTAAATACTTGATTTGATATTAACATTAATATTTTTTTTCAATTTTTTATGAATTCTTCAAATTTATATTTTATTCAAAAATAAAATTATTATTGCTTTCTTAAAAATACATAAAATTGCATTGTAACATCGACATAGACAAAAAATAAAATAGAACATTAAAATCGAGATGTATCCCGATGCATTGCGCGAGTACCCTTCTAGTTTATTCAAATGTTATTACATTTATAATATTTATATCTGTAATATTACGGACCTAGCTAAAATATAGACTAAATTTATTAGATTCAACTCAGTCACGCAACTACTACGGCCAGGTCTGAATTACGACGGTCACATCCACAATTGCGACGGTGACACTTGCTAACCTGGTGGAATTTGAATTTTCTTTTTATCTTCTAACTAGGTCCATAATATGTGGATATTACAGACATAGTGACATTTGAATAAATCCGAGATAATAATGACTAGAAGACCAATTTGAATGATTGGAATGGCTATTTGAGTCAATTTCCGTATTTTGGTCTTTTTAGTCATTTAACTATATTTTAACTTTTTATTTTTTAATAGAAAAGGTCAAAACCAAGGGTATTTTGGTATTTTTTTTACTCTTGAATTAACAGAGTTAACTGACTATATCAGTCTTAGGGACTCTAGTCATAACAAAATGCATACCACAAGGATCAAATCCATAATGAATTGAGTTTATGAACCAGGTCTGCAAGTGTAGGAATCAAATCTATAAAATAGATATAGGTCTGCAAGTTATAGGTCTTCAATTTGCGGACCTCGTTTATAAAATTGAGCAGGTGGTTGGACTAATTTACAGATTTTGGTGATTTTAGGAGAGGAATGACTAAAAAATGAAACCAACATCTAAAAATGACTATTTTAATTATTGTCTCTAAATATTATTAGTATGCACATTTTTTTTTATTAACCTGGATATCCAACCCGCTATGCGAGCCGACTAATTCCAGGACGACCACCTGCTTTGCAGATAGCCTAGAGTCATCGCATTTGAAACTCCTTGGCCACAAGGAGAGTTTTTTATTCCTCAATAGATTTGAACCTGAGTTTTCCAAGTACTTTTGACCTTTAGAGTCAAGCTCAAACCAACCAGGCACCACTCTTGTGGTTAGTATGCACAATATTTATATACAAAAAATAGAAAATCCTACATAGTCAATACTTTTTGTAAGGTTAGAGTTGGAGGTGTGTAAACCCCAAATGATCTGAAACGCAAATTGCACCCGCACCCAAAATGAGGTGATGCGCAACCCAAAATACCCCACGGATATGAAAATCCGGAACCCGACTTTTAGGGATATTTGGATTCGGGTTGAGTTTGATTTTGGCCTTTGGACCCGTCCGAAAACACAAACTATATAAATATATTATTTTTAAATATTATATGAACATATTTATTTATTTATTTTCTTTTAAAAATCCTAGTTTGTTGTATACTTTTCTGATTTATAAACCAATATCGATTCTATCGATTGAATATATATATTTTTTGCATATAATTATACTCGAACCTCGATACCAACCCGAAACGCGACCACTCCGAAACTGAAGCAATCCGAAATATGAAACTCAACATTTGGGCTTGTCTTCAATATCCAAACTCCGATCAGATAACTATTTTATAACAGATATTAGTTATTACAACGTAACTATTATAATATTTATTTAATAATTATTATGAAATGTTAAAAGAAATTTAAATAAAAATATACTTCTTTTTTAGAACATTAATCTAAATCAACATATTATTATTTTTCTTTTTAAACAACTTATATTATTTTATAACTTAACCCATTTATATTAATTACAATCAAATAAATTATATATTTGTTTATAAATTTTGCTTATTTAATATATTATAAGTTTATAAAACTTAATACATAAAACTTGTATAAAAATTACAAGATAAAAAAGTGTAATAATTAAACATTCTGTTAGAACTCAATGATTAACTACTGAAAAGAAAATAGATCGATTTAGTATCAAATTAATTATTTAATAATTCTTGTTTTTTTTTTGGGTAACTTCTTTGGTTCTATTTTTTTATTATAATTTAATTTTAGATTTAATAACAAAGTAATTTATTTTTGGTTTAATAATATAATTTTTTATAAAGATAATAATTAAACATTATGTTATAACTCAATGATTATCTTAATTATATTTTGGATTTTTAATATTTAAAATGGATGTTTATCCTGTATTTGATTATATTTATCTGCAGTTAGTTACACAAATTTAAAAATAAAGTTTTAATAAGTTGTACTCACGTAAAATTACTTGTAATCTTGAATTTTAAGTAATATGCATCAATAAACAGCACTTCATGCATAAAAAATGGTTTTTAAGAGTTCTGTCAAATATTTTATAATATAGTATAGATATGGAATGAAAAGATGAAAAGTAGCTATAAGAAATGAATATATATATATATATATATATATATATATATATATATATATATATATATATATATAGAGGTAGAGGATGATTGCTAATTGGCTAATTACATAGATGAAAATTAATGGAATTTTTTTAAAGTATTTAATTGAGTTACAAAAATGAAATAATTATGATGCGTTTGGTTTGCAGGATTATTTTTGAGGGATTTGAATTTTATGGTGTGATTGGGATTTGTTGGGATCAGATTGGAATAAATTTGAAATCATTTTGTGTGTTTGGTTTGTAAGATTTGAAATAGATTTGAAATCCGTTTTATGTATTTGGTTTGTAGGATTTGGAATAGATTTGAAATTCATTCATTTATAAATCATGTTTAGTTTGTAGGATTTGGGTTGGGATTTAATTACAATGTCATGTACTACTTCCATGGCTACTCCGTCACTCGCCATAGTTTCACCGACTTATCTAAACTACCGTTGTACACTACCCATTCTCGAACACTATTCTCATCGTCACCGCCAAACATTTGACTAGAGCAGTGTGGTCGGTTAATGCCAAGAGGCATTGAGTGGAAGCTGCCGACTTCCCTCCGGCAAGCACAAGTGTTCTTGCCCGCCGATCCACTAAACAACAAGCTCCATGCGGCGACGATATATAAAAATGCTTGTTTGTGACCTCTGATAACTCCGTAGTGAGCCAACATATGTTTTGGTCGTTCCCAGAAAATTCACTAACCCATCTGAAGATCCGACGTACACGACGACTTCCATCGTGTTCACCGCCAACGCCATCTTGGCATTTTTCCGATTTAGTAAACTGTAAAGCATCATCTTCATCGACCCGTCTGCAGATTCGGTGAAAACCAAGTTGTCAAAACCGGGAACCACCAAATTAATGGTGTCGTTGTGGGTTTTACCGATTCTAAACTTTTAATTATAACCGACGAGGAGAGCACATGAGAGCAGGGACGTCGTTTTGTTGAAAGCCAGAGGGAAGGAAGCGGTGCGACTAAAGTTAAGCCAAGAAGCAATTTTTTGAAATCCCACAGGATTTGGTTTTGAATACCAACCCTTTCCAAGGGATTTTCAAATCCATCAGTTATGGGATTTCAAATCTTGACAATCTTACAAACCAAACATTGGATTGAAATGGATTTCAAATCCAAATTCTTCTAATTCCATTTCATTCCTGTAAACCAAACACACCCTTATTATTTTTAAGTATTATATATTTATTTATTATTCATTATTCAATCATAAAAAATTTAAAATAATAATTTTCTTTGAAATAAACTAAGGGGCCATTTACTAAAAGCTTACTTGTTAAGTGCTTACCGTGTAATTTTTCTTATCGGATGAGCATGACAAGGGTCAAAAATCTGTCCCGGTAAAAGCAGTGATGAAGATGGAGAATTTTACTCGGTAAGTGAGGGTGACGACTCTTACACGGGTAAGTGCTTACCTTGTAAATTGTTGTATATGATATCATTTTGATGTACTACAATCTTACCCGGTAAAATTAATTATAGTATTGACTCCTAGCATTAAGTGCTTACCGGGTAAACATTTAGGTAAACGGCCCCTAAGTTATTCAAAACGTCACCATTATTCTACAACTAATGATTAATTATTTATCAAATAAGTGATGGAATTAAAGGGAACTAAACATATTCCAGAGTAAATTACAAATTTCGTATTTGAAATTGCGATTTTCGTTCCTAATTCCAACTAAAGGCCGTTGAGAGAGAGTACGTTTCAAATACAACCCATCACTTTTACGCCTGGTTTTTTTTCCAAAAGGCCGTTGAAATTTTTTGTTAAATGAAGGGCACTTTAGTCCTTCTATCAATTTTCTGTTTGTTATCGAATCAAAAACCATAGAGATTAAAATTATAAAATCGATTTTGATTGGGTAAA